TATGAACCTGGCATCCGGTCCTTTCCAGTTTCAGAATACATCTGGGCTTCCTAGACACTCCCCTGTCTTGCCAGAAAAATGCTCTTTTTTCTCCTTCTCTCCCCAAACACATTTATTTCTACTTTGTTGTAGAGCAAGGACCAGCTTGTTGCCTGCGCGAAGCAAATTGCTTGCGAGGGGCAGGTGTTTGTTAAATTTGGTCGCACCATTGCCAAGCACTGCCCCAACGAGAGATGCTCTGCACAGCTGCTGTGCGCCGCAGAGCAGACACACACCATCAGCAGCCAGCTCGCCATTGTGGCCAGGTGAGTTGCTGGGGGTCAAGGACAATTTCCCCCAAGGCTGGTGGCCCCCTTCTCGAAGAGATGTGTATGGTGGTCTCCAGTGGTCCTTGTTGGATCAGGGTGTAGCCCTTAAGAGTCCAGTTAGAATTCAAGAGGCTCCCTCTCCTATTCCTGTTGCTCTCAACAGCCCCTTTTTCCTCCCCTGGTTTGCCTGCCTCTAGGGAAACCCACTCTGATAGTGCAGGGAACAATCTTCTGGTTTTGGAGTAACTGACAGATTACTGGTCACACAGGGGAGGCACACTGATGCTCCTCCAGTAAATTCCTCTCACATGTCATTTAAGGGTAAAAGCAGTCACTGCAGAGAGCAAGTCCTCTTCTGAGCTGCTGGTGAGCAACGCACAGAACCTAATTCAAGCGGTTTTGCATGTTCTGAGAGCAGCCGAGGCAGCGTGTATCAAAGTAAGTTACTGCTGATGGCATCTAATAGGCTTTGCAAGGTGAGTCCATGCTGTGGGGAGCTCGTACAGCCAAGTCTGGTTATGGGAGGTGGGAGCTGGCTGCTGGGGGTAAAGATTCTCACCAGAATATTTTTATTTAATGCCTTTCTTGCCTTGTTTCCAAAGTCTGCTACGCATCTCTCCAGGCACTGCATCTGCTCTATCACTGCTACCAACTCTGAAGTCATCTTTAGCTGGTCCGTTTCCCAGTTCATTTTTGGACAGGAGAGCAGCAGCATCTCGTTGGAGGCCTTTATTTGGAAATAGTACGCGTCAGTCTTAGCCTTTATGTTGTCTCAAGATGAGCTTTGATCAAAACTCCCAAGAGCTTCTCTTGCAGCTGCCAACCATGGCTGATTGATCCAACTGTAAATAGTTTGTGAGCGCAGACTTCATCTGAAAGTACTGAGAAAACAAGTGCAAATACAACCAGACTCTCCACTGATGCAGTCGTTCCGTTTTGTGCCTTAGCCTCCTACATAATCCTACAACTCTTGCTGAGTTCCAGCACATCTTTTTGAAAGAAACACTTCTGATTATAATTCTATTTGATGGAGAATCAGCCACAGGGATGGAAAAGCTCCTCCTGTGGTTAATTTCCCATATTGTTAAAAATATCCTACATACACCTTTCTGTTACTTTGCTGATGTCAGCCTGAAGTAACTAGCCATGCTTTTATCTTGAGTGTCTAGATTACAAAGTCCTTTATGACCTGGCTTTGTCCCTTTGGAAATTTCCCTGCTTATCAATAAACTAACTATACTGCATTCCTTTTTATCTCTCTGTAAACAGGTTTTTAAGCATTAAAAAGTAGAGATGCCACATTGGTCACACACACAATGATATATTCAATGTCTGTCATTTAAGGTATTTTAAACTATTTCATGTACGACAATATATTAAAGCACACAAATGTTTTGTCTCCTCCTAACAGGGTTTGCAACAGCCCCCACCTGACTCTGAAGAAGAAGAAGTAGCTGCTTTTTGCATGCAGTGGAGAAAAAACCTGTTGTGGCACAGAGCCAAGGAGTCTTTAAACTCAGACAGGGATGAATTAGGCCTCCGCAAGACTCAGGTAAGGGCTGAACCGACCCTAACGGCTATGGTGCAAGAACAGTTGCTTCAGACCAAGAATACACCCAAAGCACCCAAAAACTATTAAAGGACATCAAATTATGGACAGCCACCTGCAAAAACAGGAAGGGACTTCTGCTGGGGGTAAACTGCATCGCTAATTGGCCTCAGAAAGAGCAGAAAGAACACAATCTGTGCTGCACTCCTCCCAGCTCACATCTCTTCTGCCAGAGGACTGAGGGGGCAAGGCCTGACAAGGCCTTTGTGTGCTGGCTGCTCCTCCTGTGGCAAATTCCACCCTAGAGAGACACTGCTTCCTTTTGGCAACTGAACAAAGAGAAGAATAAAATGATGCCACATGCTAGTGTATTTCCTAAGAGGCCTCTCGTCCAGATGGCATTTGAAGTTGAGTAAGAAGATGCGATACCGAGCCACAGAGGACATGGGAGTTGGTGAAGAGCTTTAAGACACAGTCAAAGGGAAAACAGAAGGCTTCCTGCTCAGTAAAACACCAGTTGCTGATCTTTGTTATCTGGCACGGGAGTCACTCTGAAACTGTTACTCTTGAATCAATGGCCACCAAGTGAGGCTACAATTCTTTACATTTGTATAATGCATGCCCCCCTCCAGCTGTGAGCCACCCCTGGCTCTTAGGTAGTCAGCCAGGCTTTATTTTTTTTTCCTTTAGCAAACATTAATATAGAGAAGACAACATTTAATGAGGTACCTTCGTTATATTTCTTTCAGTAACTGCCACTTCTATGTTGTTCAGCACCAAAGATGTGAACAGAAGGATGCAGGAACACACTTGCAGCAGCACCAGCAAATCTGGCTGGAGGGAGGGATCAGGGAGTTCTGTAAATTATTGTGTTGCTCATCACAAGAAAGCCTCAGAGGTGGGAGGTCTTTCCAACGCCCTCATCTTTAGCACACTATCAAACCTTTTTGCAACCATCATCTTTTTAGCAACCATCACCTTTTTTTCTAGGGGTAGCTAGGCTAAGTGCTGCACAGGAAGGGCAGCCAGAGATATATAACCCCGCAGAAGAGCCAATGCACAGGGTGGAGCTCAGACAAAAAATCCAAACTCAGAGGGTGACAAGCAAAAGGCTCTACACCACCTGGAGGAAAGAACTGAATGAGAAGGAAGACTAAGGGACAGGATCACTGGCTTTTAAAATGCAAATCAGGAGTGTAATTAAGTATTCTCTGCTTTGCAATAATAAATTGCTTTCATTTGCAATATGAAGGACTCATATTAGTCTTTTCATCATGGTAGAAAAATATTAAAACACATCACCTAGGCAGGCTAGAAATCTCCATACGAGTATTGTCATGGGTCAGCAAACGCCAGGTGGTGATCTAGCAAGGTTCAGTCTTTGTGAAGCGCAGAAAGCAGATGAGATCAGAGACAAACATTTTACTCTTCCACATCTCCAGGGCTAGACAGAGTGGGAAGTGTTTTGTCACACCTGCTGCCCCTGACTCTGCAGATCCTGCAGCTTGCAGAGAAAGGAGACTTTTCTCCCCAAATCCCTCTCAGCCCCAGGACTCTCTTTTACCCAGAGTAAAACATTCACTGCTGCTGATCACCCACCTCATAGCTACAGGCTTCCAGAGTATCCAGGACACACAGTACCGGCTGCTCCTCTTACAGCCCTCCCTCCACAGCTCTGCTCCACAGCCTCAGGGGCATGAGTTGCAAGTGTCCGAGGGAAACGCTGCTCCATGCCAGCAAACTGCACCTGCGGGAGAGACAGGAATGAGCCTCCTCTGCAAAATACACTCGTCAGACTTGACTTGTTTGGTGGCTACAGCCCATTGTCCCCACCTGCCTGCTCTGACACCCCCAGCGCCTTCCCCGATTCAGGCAGTTCAGTACTTGCACTGTAGCAATGAATCTCCTCCTCCACGTTTTGAGAAAGCACAGCAGCAGCAGCAGCAGGAGGCACACCAGAGCAAGAGTAGTCTTGGGGCAGAGATCTGCAACCAACAAACCAGCAAGCGCAGGTGGACAGAGGAGCCGAGCAGCAGCCTGCAGAACATCACGCCGAAGCTGGGGAGGCCCACGGGGACCTGCTGGCTGGGCAGGGCTGGAGCTGGGAAGAAGGAAGGAGGCGGTTACACATGGAGACACTGCAAGGACTAGCTGGCCTCTTTCAAATTATGTTTCCTCCTTACTTTGTACCCCTTTTTTTCCAATTTAAAGACTTGTATTGTATTAAAGATACTGGGATGGCAGTGGATCTCCAAGGTTAGGAGCCAGTGCTCTGCGTCCCTCTCCCAGAACACATCCAAAACGTGTCCATAACCAAACTGACGGCAAACCACCTGAAATCTTTCCATTATCTCAACTGTAAGGCCTATCACTTTGCTCTTGGCATCAAAGCTTTTCCTTTGACTCTTATTTTTCCAGTACTTTCAAAAGAACACAGAGAATCCAATTCAGTGATGACATCATCATCACCACCCTACCAGTTGTAACTTCAGGTTACAGCTGTGCATCCTGCAAGTACTTTCCACATCTACATGTGAAACCACGCATTTGGCTTCAACACTGTCACTCTTTCTCTTTGTTCCCCTACCAACCCATGTGCTGTTTCCAAACTATTTCTGTTTTTCCCTGCTGTCCAATTCTGCTGGCTTGGTTTTTGATGAAATCCTTAAAACAGCCAGACTTGTCACCACATGAAGAAGTAATAAGTAAATACAAAGGACTAGTAGTTTACTCCAAAATAACAATAAAGTTTCATGTCTCTTATCTAGTTTTCAATTATTTTGAGTGAGCATGATTCAAAATATCATAAAATTGATATAATTTATACTCTGGGAAATTAGGAAGGCAAACTGAAGCCGTTATTGCTTTCAGTGACGTCTCCTCTGCCATGTTTTGCACACGTAGAAATCAGCAGCTTCCCTCCGTTCGTCCAAGCTCTGCTCCTCAATGCACAACACTTGCAATTCTTGCCTGGATTACTGTTTGTCTCACAGGCACAAGAACCCAAAAGCTTAGAATTTTTGATAAACATACTGTCCCAGTCGCAAGCATTACCTGGGCCAGCAAACAGAAACAAAGAGGAAAAGGTCCACCAAGGAAGAGACTCAATGCAAAGAAACATTCCAAGTGGGCGGGAACCAGGTGGCAATTGAGCAGATGGCAAATGTTTATTACAAATGCAGCTGGCTAGGTATATACGACTACATTTCCTCTAGATAAAAAGCAACCCCAAAGGCAAAACAAGAGAGGCTCTGAGGACAGCTGTGCTCTCGGCATGCAACATCTTCAGAAATTAAAGAACATGCATGACATTGTCTCATAGCAATTCTGATAACCCTAGTAAGAGGACAATGACGACTCTCTCCAGATCAGCGGTCTGATCTTGGAACCACGCAGCAAGCTAACTCCATTTGGGTTCAGCACAAGGTTCGTTTAAAAACCCGCTACCACCTGACTGCAAAATGGGGTAAGGGCTGCACTAAACCCAGGCTTAGTCCCCTTCGTCCTGCAGACACCCCCGCTGCTCCTTCCCCAAGGCCAACGTGTCAACATCACAGCCATTGCCAGACTTTAACTGTACCCTTTTTAATTTTTTTGTTAAAAATGTCATAAAGACACCATGAATACAAGTACTGCAGTTACATCAATACAAAAAAAGCAATACAAATTAAGCAGCTGAATACAAAAATACATTGAAATACATGAACACCACAATGTAACTTAGAGCACTAACCATAATCGTGTATGCGTGAAAAAATTAAATAAAAACCTTTTTTGTATTAGACAACTTAGGTATTCTCCACTTTTAACAGTAACTTTCTTCTAGTTATGTACTTCACAATTTCTTCTATATACAGCATAGAATAAAATACTTTTAAAAGATATGACATTTTTAATCCTCAATAGGCGATATAGGTCTCTTTTACACTAAGAATATTGACTACATGAATAAAAACTGTCAATGTCCTTACATCAACTGATCTGAAAAGGAGGATCAACGTTTTCCTTTTAAATCATTTACGTAGGTTTTAAATCAGTTAGTAGGTTTGGCTTGATGTGTCAGACAATCCTTGTCAAACAGTGTCTCTCACAGTAATGTACATAATATTGCTTGTATCTATACAATCATACAAATGTGGCAATCATATCTAAATGTTGTTTATGAAAGAGACAGCTCACACATATACAGGTCTTCGGACTTTCTTAATGACTTATTTACAATGAAAGTGCTTTTATCAGCTCTAACACGATACATGGGGTTTGTTTTGCCTTTTTTTTTTTTTTTTCTACATATCAATTATTAGTCTCCCTGAAATTGGAAAAGTATTATATAGAAAATACCACAGCTTTGCAAACACTATAGCATACTGTATAACTGCATGTGGTTCTGAGATTAGCAGCTGAAAAGTGTTGATAATTATAATTTAAAAATAAATAAAGCAAAGAGGTAAACCAGTTACAAAACAGCAGAAAACTGCAATATTCACAACAGTAAAAAGACTTAAAATCAATTGCTAACAAAACGGTGAAGCAGTCGGATCGAAAGTCTTGAAAACATCTTTTAAGGACTTATCATCTGATTCCCCATTCGGATCATTATCCTGTGTCTGAGTTACCTGTCCAGGCTGTCTAACCTGCCTCGGGTCGCTGTACTGCGGTCTGATTAATCCCGATAAAGCTTGGATAGGAAGATTATGCACCGCAGGTGCAGCGCTGGAGTGTTTAGCCTGAGATTTACTGGTGCTATTTGCTTTATCTGAAGTAGCTTCCGCTGATCCTTCTGTATTTTTTTCCACGTTCGAGGCAGCTTTCTGCAGCGATGAATCTTCTGAGAGACTGGGTTCATTTTTACCAGAATTTTTCAAGATACTTTTTTTCTGGTTCTCTCCGTTCTCTCCTGAACTAGCTGGAGCCGTGTCCAATGATGAGCTGTGATCTCTGGGATCATACAAACTAATACCGCTCAGTATGGAGCCCGGAGTTCCCAGCCTAACGCCACTCGAGGATAATTTGGGTGCGTACGGAGGCAAAGCATCCGGGTCGGGTTTAGCAGTCGCGGCTTCCGAGGGCTGCGACGAGCCAGCAGCGGATCTGGCGAGGCGGGGGTCAAACTTGGGAGGGTGCGAATCCTTTGTGACTCCGTGATGCGTATCTGCACTCGACAGTCTGTGGAGTCTGGGATCGACGTTTTTTTGTAAGCGAGGATCTCCTAACTTGCTCGAGCTGCTGGCGTGCGAATCTGCGGACGGATCCAGATAGCCGCTCCTGCCCGCCAAGCTGGTCTTTGCCTTTGCGGCGAGTCGCGGGTCGGCTGGCACGGCATTTGCATGGGGCTCGTTTTTCAGATTCCGCAGTTTATTGAGTCTCTGGTCAGCAATGAGTGGAGGAAGAGGTAAATTGATTGAAGAGACGGGGTCAGGCTTAGGCAAAGGTATTGGGAGCAAGTCTTCGGGTGCCCATACAATATGCTTAGCGAAGTTTGGTTTCATCAGGGTGACGTCCATTTTAATGTGGCTGAACTGCCTAAGCTGGGATCGGGGATCCCTTAACGTTACACCCGGCAAAGGTTCCAACGGTATCAGAAAAGCTCGTTCTCTCAGTTCTCTTTCTGAGTCCTCTTCATCATCGTCCATCCCTTTTTGCTTGACTTTAACTCCAGCGTGCACGTGGTGTAAATCCAGCTTTGCTCCCCCGAGGGACGAGCTGGCGTGAGCACCCTCACTGACCTTGTGCATCCTGGGATCTCGTAAGAGCCGTGGGTCCAGGGAGGCAGATTCTGAAGGCTTTCTGGGGTTGGACCTCGGAGAGGCCCGAAGTCGCGGGTCTGCAGCCTGAGGCCCTGCACCTTTCTCTTTTGCCAGCCTCGGATCAGTAGGAATACCCAGCATGTGCTGCTCTGTGGAATGTTGTTGCCGATTCCTAAAATTTTCGCTTTGTTTCTTTAAGGTTTTTAGTATTGATTTAACACTGCTCCCCTCCTCCTCTTCACTGCTGGAATACCAGTTGACATTGTCATCTTAAATTAAAAAAAAAAAAAAAAAAATTATTCAAGCAAATGATGACAAGGGAATACAACATATTTACTCATATAAAGGGTAACTTCTCAGTTAAATCAAACTGAAAAGACCTTAAGTCATCGCTCTCTGTATTACAACAACTGTAATCTAAAATGACAAAAATCAATTTCAATGAAGAACTGACATAACAAAAAACTGTAGCTAGCTGAGATACTCCCAAACTCTGCTGCCTTCTATGTACCTCTCTGTCAATATCAATCTGGGAAAATAACCTGCTTTCAAACAATTATTTCACAGAATCACAGAATGTTGGGG